TCGCCCTGACCTGGAGCCCGGTCTCATCAGATCTTGGAAGCTAAGCAGAGTCGACTCTGGCAAGTACTTTGATGGGAGACCTCCTTGGAATACCAGCAGTCGGGAGGCGGGGGCAGGCTTTATTCAGCCACCTCTCTGAATATCCTCCAGGCCCCCAGTAGGGGTCAGTCACCAGAGGTCACCATGACTTCCAGGTGCACACACATGTGTGTACACAAACATATGCATATGAAAAAATAGCCCAAAAAAGGGGGGGAAAAGAAAAGATGATGATTTCAGTGCAAGCCCTAATGCCTGAGCCTACTTTTAATTGCCACTTCTGCTGAAGTTTAAGTGCTGCTATTGCCTGCACATTATTCCTTACCCACTCTCGGTGTCGTTGAGAGCTCCAACTCTTGCAAAAAGACCTATACTAGACCAATTACTTCACCTAGAGAAATGGGTGGAGATTCTTCTAGACCTTGGTGCTAAAGAAAAAGCAACATTTGCCAATTGAGCAATGGGAGATAAATTCCAGAGCATATGGAGACCTTCCGTAGAACTTTATGAATAAACTAGCAGAAAACTACCACCATTACAACTCTCTTTCTGTTCTAAAGGTTTTCTTAATCTAATGTTTGAAAATTTTCCCAAAGCTTAATAAAGATCTTAATTACAAAAAAATTACCCTGCTTCTCCAAGCACGAGAAGTGACTGTCATCTCTTTTCCTGAGGGAGATTATTCACAACTGAACAAATGTCACTGCCAGGGAGATTTCTTCAGGACAGTAAAACTCAGTGATAAATCTTCTCATCATCCCCTTGCTGCCAAGGTAATGCAGATAGTTATGTGGATGATTTCTCAAGGATGACGGAGACAGACCCATGTCAGCCCAGTTACTTTTGTCCTAGCTTAGATGAACCTGAGTCCTGTCAATATTATCAATGGATCCATGCCAGTGCGGCTGCACCCCTTTTTAAGGTTCTTTCCCAGCAGCAGCAGCTGAGCTAACAGTGGTCTTGTGACCCCTGCCTTTCAGCAAGAACATGATGGATATAAGGCTAACCCTTAACACTGTTTTCAACAATGAGGAAAATTAATGCAGTAATAGGAATGGTTTGGGGAGTTCTGTAAATAAGACTACAGAGAAGGATTTCTATGCTAAGAGGTTATGAGAGAAAACAGGGTTATATCCATATGTGATGGCTGCCACAAAGATTATTCCAGTTGCGACCCACACGGCTCACAGAAAATAAAATCCAAAGATTTTAACGTCTCCATTAGCTTTGCTTTCTGCTTGGAAAAAAAGCCCAGCAGTCAGTTTACATAATCAGTAGAATCATGAGCTGAGCCTTTTCTCAACTTTCTCACTTCAGGCTACAGGTAAGGAGCTGTACGTTCAGATTCTCAATTAAGAACCATTTCCTACACACACAAGGCAGACAGCATGTCAGGAAAAAGGGGATACCTCTTTTTTTTTAATGAATTACTTTATGCTACTAGTATCTAATTGCAGAGACTAAAACAGATTTTCTTTCCTGTACAATTTGAATGTTTGAACAATATTACTAGTGGTAAGTTTTTAAATAATGTGGGAATGCAGAAAAGGTTAAGAAATTCTATCACGGTGTATTAGAAATAATTTGAAAATTGAAAGATACAATAATGCAATATTTGCATAATGAAACTACTATCCAGTTATAATGCTGTTATAGCTAAATGATTTGCTGTCCCAGTGAATAATTCAGGAGTACCTGATGCTGTAGCTTTACAAAGCTAAGCAACTAAGGACCTGATCAGTACTCTGGATGGGCGATTAATACAGGATCTCATAAAAGAGCTGAACATATAATTTAAAAGAACAAAAAAACCCTCTTCAGAAACAGATTTACAGTACAATCTTAAACAGAGTTATACCCTTCTAAATACATTGACTAATATTGAACATACATTGACTAATATGGATTCAATAAATATATGGTTAGGTCACGCCTCTGCTCGCTCGATAGGCTATGCAAATTTCTTTGGTTGCATGGCTCCTATTGGAGTGGCCCTGGCCGACCTCTCCAGTAATGTCCAAGCCCCTCCGTGGATCGCTCTTGCTGATTGTTTGTCGCCATCCACTTAATGTCTAAATTAATTATTTTTTTTACCACCCTTGCCTTCTTGTAGCCTATGTTATGGGTGGGATGTGGATGACTTCTCCCCCACTGAAGAGAAAGAATAATATATATAAATTATATGGATTTAGAAGGGTATCTGTTTAGCATTAGGGATGCTGTGAGTTTTACTGTGAACATGTTGTTCATTTTATTTTTATTTTATTGAAATAACACATTTATTGATGACTGATTTATATGATTTATGAGTGATCTGAACTGGTTGTATCAGGTTTTCCCAAAACCATGTCATGTGCGAAGATGCTGCTGATTCCGACTGATCAGCAGCCATTAGCATCACTAAGGACTACTTAGATGAGCACCAAAGGATAGGATTTTATTGAAACACAGCCTTTATTGATGACTGATTTATATTATTTGTAAGTGATCTAATTGTCTATTTAAACAACTGACTGCTGAACAGAGCAGTTATGCAGCAAGGATGGGGAGGCAATAGATCTCAGTTGGGCTGTCTAAGAACCTGCATGTGCAAAAAGCCAATTGAGATGTACTGCATGGTTATTAAGGAATACAATGAAATAACTGGTTGAACAACCTTGGCTTATTCACATATTACTCTCTGGAATTCTCCCTAGAAACCACAAGCAGCCCTTAGATTCATGTACTCTCTTCCCTGCAGAGAGAAGTGAATGCCTGAATCAAGGCATTCCTTGATTTTAAAAAGGATTTAACCTGTAGGGGTAAAGGAAATCCCACCTCTGAACAATCACAGAGTCTCTTTTCCAAAAAATGAATCCAGGGGCCAAGGACTACTCTTGCTCTCTTCCCAGAATGATTCAAAGGGAAAGAATATACCTGAGTAGGCCCTGTCTTTGTTTTTCTTGGGAACTAGACCACACGACTTTGTAAGCATGCTCAAAACCCATAAACTTTGGCAACTGTAACATCTGGAGAAGGAGATACTGTGCAATACAAATTAGAAATTTATGACCTGCATAGCTAAAGATGCCCTAATCTGAATAACCCAGGATAGCTGTATCTTGACAGATCTCAGAAGCTAAGCTGGGTCAACTGGTTAATACTTGGATGGGCAGACCACCAAGGAAGATAGGGATTGCTACATATTTATTTATTTATTTATTTATTTATTTATTTATTTATTTTTCATACTTATACCCCGCCCTCACCAGTGGGCTCAGGACGGCTCACAGAGGCAAGAACAACTTGCCATGATAAAACAATATATACAAAAAAGTTTAAAACGTATACTACATATTAAAATATAATAACAGGTGCTCAAACTCCCATTCATAATCTAAAAGATGGCGGATTGAATGTCCAAAGTCCCACGAAGACGGCAGGAGGATTCTTCGATAGCAGATGTTTAATCAGGACCTCAGGGCGATGGTGGTATAGTAGGGGTGGCGGCTCCTACTCAAAAGCCTGGCGGAAGAGCTCCGTCTTGCAGGCCCTGCGGAATTGCATGAGGTCCCGCAGGGCCCTGATCTCCTCCGGGAGCTCATTCCACCAGGTAGGAGCCGCCACCGAAAAGGCCCTGGTCCTCGTGGCGGCTAGTTTGACATCCTTAGGGCCCGGGATGACTAATAAATTTCGGGCCCCTGACCGTAGTGCTCTTGGGGGAACATACGGGGAAAGGCGGTCCTTCAGGTAGGTTGGACCCTGGCCATGTAGGGCTTTATAGGTAACGACCAGCACTTTGAAGCGAATCCGGTATGCTATTGGCAACCAGTGCAGCGCTTTCAGCGCAGGCCGCACATGGTCCCTTCTAGAGAGACCCATTAACAGCCTGGCCGCAGCATTCTGCACCAGTTGCAGCCTCCGGATTTGCGACAAAGGCAGCCCCATGTAGAGAGCGTTGCAGTAGTCTAGCCTTGAGGTGACCGTCGCGTGGATCACTGTGGCCAGGTCGTCACGGTCAAGGTAGGGGACCAACTGCCGTGCACGCCTAAGATGGAAAAAGGCGGACTTGACAGTGGCTGCCACCTGGGCCTCCATCGTTAGGGTGGAGTCCAGAAACACCCCCAAACTCCGAACCCCAGAAGCTGGCACCAAAGGTACCCCATCCAAGGTCGGGAGAGGGAGCCCTAACCCCTTCCCACTCCGACTCAGGCCCAGGACCTCCGTCTTCGTCGGGTTTAGTTTCAATCGGCTCATCGAGACTCGAGTTCGACCGGCCACCCAGCATCAGATAGAGCTGGGTGTCATCAGCATACTGATGACACCCAAGCCCATAACTCCGGGCAATCTGGGCAAGGGGGCACATATAGATATTAAATAGCATCGGGGACAACACTGCTCCCTGCGGCACCCCACACTCAAGGGGATACCTGCGGGAGTGCCGGTCCCCGAGAACCACCCTTTGTCCCCGACCTTGCAGGAAAGAGGCAAACCATTGAAGGGCAAGCCCCTGAATCCCCACGTCGGCGAGGCGGTGGGTCAGCAACTGGTGGTCGACCGTGTCGAACGCAGCCGACAGATCTAACAGCACCAGTGCCGCCACACCACCTCGATCCAGATGCCTACGGAGATTGTCAGTCAGGGCGACCAAAGCCGTCTCGGTCCCGTGGCCCGGGCGGAAACCGGACTGGAAGGGATCTAAGACTGAAGCATCCTCCAGAAAGCCCTGTAACTGTGACGCCACTGCCCTCTCTATAAGTTTGCCCAAATAGGGCAAATTGGACACCGGCCAATAGAGGCAGGCAATGGCAAAACACCTCCCTAAGTCTCTTGCCTTCAAAAGCCTACGGCTGCGATTTGACATCACATTCTACCACCCCATATGTAAAGATATGCCTTCTAAGTTGTTAGCATTTCAATTTTTAAAAATAAGAATGCCTCCAGAGGCATGGGACCTTTGTGTGAATGTTTGGCAACATTACCTGAAGAGTTAGTGACAGTTCTCTCAATGGTATGCCGTGTGAGATCCACAACTCTGTCCACCTGGAAAAACTTGAGGTCTTCCTCGTCCAAGGCAATGTCTCCTGAAAAGGCAGCTAGAAATAAGAGGAGAGCTTGTGAGAGAGGAGTTCAATTTCAATTGTATGATTAGACTTTATGATGGAAAACTTTCTGAGATGGATTGTGGAAAGGCAAGTTCACATACCTTTTTTGTCATTTGTGTTACAATTGCCCTCATTGCTTGGAAAACCTAAATATATGACATTGCTATTGTGCAAGACAGAGTCACTAACATCATCTCAGACAATGATCCACCAATGGAAAACAAGTTGAAAAGTGAGAACTCTCTCTTAAATTACAAGTACCTCTAAATATGGATAGAAGGGATTTCTGTCTGTGAAGCATGACAACCCCCTACCCCCCACAATGGCAGCTAACAGGAAGAAGGCAAAGAGTCAAATTTCCAAGCACCAAGGGATGCTTCCCTGAAGTCAGATGTACTGAAAAGAACTAATCCTGCCATCTCTGAAAGTGCAGATGAGAAATACTGGAACAAGTAGATAGATCAAGAAGGGCAGCCATGTTATTCTGTCTATAGCAGTAGAAAACAGCAAGAGTCCAGTAGCACCTTAAAGATTAACAAAATTTGTGGCAGAGTATGAACTTTCGTAAATCACTCCTCACTTCTTCAGATACAGCTAGAATGTGACTCTATCTGTCCTTATGCCTTGGAGAGTGGAGTGATTTCAGATGCTGAATGACAATAACAGGCAAATGACAATAGCAGGTGAATGACAATAGCAGGTGTGATTGGATTAGGTATGATATGCTGAGGGGTAGTAGGCATGCAGAAATCAGCACTGGTAATGAGACAGAAAACCTAGGTCTCAATTCAGTCCGGGAGGATGAATTGTCTTGAGTTTCATTATCAGTTGCAATTCTCTCTTTCTAATCTCCCTTTGAAATTCTTTTGTAAGAAAACTGCTACTCTTCAGTCAGCAATGAATGTCCTGAAAAGTTAAAATGTTCCCCAACAGGTTTTTGAATGCATCCTCCTGGAATGAATCAAGACCTAGGTTTCCTGTCTCATTACCAATGCTTATTTATCTACACCTACTGCCTCTGTGCATATCACACCTAATTCAATCACACCTGCTACTGTCATTTGCCATCTGAAATCACTCCACTCTCCAAGATATAAGGACAGATGGACTAATATTCTCACTGTTATATGAAGAAGTGAGCAGTGACTCACAAAAGCTCATACCCTGCCACACAGTTTGTTAGTCTTTAAGGTGGTACTGGACTCTTGCTCTTTTCTACTGGAACAGGTAGAGGCAGAATTAATGAGCAGCATAAACATTACACAAGGGAGGCACAAAATGTAACCATTATGACCTGATCACACTTCTTGATGAGACATCCCTGATCCAAATAACTTTCTAAGTTGTCCCTCAGGATCCATATGAATTCATAACCTGTTTCTATTATTTGCCTGAAACTGCATCCAGTGGTTCTCCATTCCTCCCTTCAGAATCCCTGCAATACAAGTATTCCAAAATGAGGTCCCAACACAATAATTAATTTCCCTTTTTTGCAGTTGCATCAAATTTGTGGCTCAGTTGTCTTGTGATCGAGCAAGATTTCAGATCTCATTGCTGTTTCGAGTTGAAGAATCCCCAGCTGATAAAAAGTGTAATAATAATGCCCATAATGCATGAATTTAATCTAATTTCATTTAATTCTCTTTCTCTTATTCTCATTCATGAGGTCACCTCCTTTGCCTTGCACAATCCTATATTAACATTTTCCTATACGTTGTGTTATTCACAAATTTCATCAGCATATTTCTGCTTCCTTCCATAAGGCTATTCAAAGAAATGTGGAATAAAATGGGTCTTGACATCAACTCCCATGGAATTTCACTGTACTTGAACATTTGCCTTTAACATAATAGTTTTTTCATTTTATTTTTCACCAGGCTGTTGCAGATCCTAAAGAACTCAGTTCTACCTTCAACTGTTTAAAATGAAGCTCTACTGCTTAGGGATACGCACAAACCAGAAAATTCCAGTTCGGTTCAGGGTTTGGGGTGTGTCCAAACCAAACTCCAACCCAAGAAAAAATGCCCAAACCAATCTGGCTGGTTTGAACCACCTTTCTCCTGGCTGCGGCAAGCTATTTAACCCATCCGTTTCACTTCCCCGCATTGAAGCTTGGAGCCATTTAAACCTAACAGCTGGCAGGCGGACCTGTCCAGCTGTTAAGTATTAAATGGCTGCAAGTCATTACACCCATCCATTTTGCTTCCACCTGCTTGGAAGCAGGGGGAGAGAAAGGGATTGCTGAAATGGCTTGCATCTATTTCAGCCTAACAACTGATGGGTGCGCCAGCTGTTAGGCTGAAATAGATGCAAGCCACTTCAGCAATCCCTCTTGCTCCCCACCATAAGCCACACAAACCTCCAAAAAACCACATGGAGGGTCATGAGGGTGAGATTGCACAAACCTTGGTTCACAAACCATGACGTGGGCGATTTTACTAGTGAACTTATGGTCATGGGCAGGTTTGTTCCCATCACTATTAGTGCTAACTGACAAATTAATAACTAACAGGTCACCAGGTGTGAATGACATATACTCAAAGGTTTTTAAAGAACTCTTGTGAAATTGTTGATCTCCTAATAACAACATGCAATTTGGCATTGAAATAGGCTTCCCCACAAAAAGATCAGAAATCAGCAAATGTAACATCAATTGTTGAAAATACAGAAAATAAAAGGGTAGTTATCCTAACATTTATTATTAGTAAACTGGTTGGAAACATAATTAAACATAGAATTAGCATGCTATAGAAGAACAAGCAGTAGTGAGGAAGAACCAGTAACTCACTCTACATGGGCTTGCCCTTGTGGCTGATCTGGAAACTCCAGCTGGTGCAAAATGCAGCAGCGTACTTGCTGACTGTGTTGCCTGTGTGGGCACACATCCAGCCAGTGCAACGCCATTTGCACTGGCTACCAATTGGGTACCGGATCCACATCAAGGTCCTGGTTCTGACCTTTAAAGCCTTGCATAGCCAGAGACGACATACCTGCAGGACTGCCTCTCCCCATATGTGCCCTGGAGAGCCTTGCACTTAATTGATCAGCATCTGCTGGTAGTCCCTTGCCCGAGGGATATCCATCTAGCCTCGACCAGGGCCACGGCTTTTTCAGCCCCGGCCCCGGCCTAGTGGAACAAACTCCCTCTTGAGATCAGGGCCCTATAGGACTTATTATTGTTCCACAGGGCCTGTAAGATGGAGTTGTTCTGCCAGGCCTTTGGTTAAGGCAGAGGGCATCCAATGAAGTCAGCCTCCCTCACTGAAATTTGTCATCATTATTCAGCCCAGATTGAGAAGACCTCTAAATCCAGTCACTCCAGCTGAAACTGTGTTTGTGGTTATACACAGTCATTTTAAATTGTATTACTTAGTTGTTTGAAATATTATTATATTTATTAATGTATGTTTTTATCTACTTATGATGTGATCCGCTCTAAGCCCGCTTGCTGGGAGGGCGGAATACAAGTCCAAATAAATAAAATTAAGCAGTGGGATCCCCCAGGGATCTGTGTTGCAGCTGGTGCTATCTTATTTGTTCATAAATGGTCTAAAACATGGTGTAGTAACCAAGACAGCAAATGAGACTTGTTTTTCACCATTACTCAGAATGGTGAAAGCCAAAGCAGACAGCAAGTAATCCTACGATTCTTAGAGCAAATGACGTTACTTTCCAGTTTTCCCTGGAACTGATGTCACACCATGTGCGTTGCCTGTGGGTTTTTTTTCTCCCACTGCCCAAAGAAGTGGTAGTAGGAAGCATACAATTGTTAACTCATCCAGTTGCTCAATAAGACACAAACCTTCTTCCTGGACTGTCCGTATTCTGCCCACTGTCTGCAAGGGCACTGGGATGCTTGACAAACATTTGCTGTTGCTTTTTTTTTTACTATCAAAGTCTAAAAGTCCTTTGATTAATATTGTTGAGTAAATTGTACTCTTAAGCCACACTTGCCTTTTACCACAACATTTCTGGCTACAAGCCTGTATGGGTCATCCAAATGCTATAATCTCTTTACTGTGTGACACATCGTATTACTCTTTTTCCTCTTCTTCTGACACATTGTAGGATGTCCTGTGTGGACTTAGGTGGGTGTGGGTATTTTCCATGCACTTCCATGGAGATACTGGTGGCAGATCTGAACTGAGAGTAGACTTGAGGGACTTTGACTCTCTTCTTAGCCTATAATTTTATGATTCAAGAGGAGTACATAGCAGTGCCCTACTCTTCAATTACTTTTGAGGACATTACCAAAACAGTGCACTTATGTCTGTTATAGAGTAACTGACCAACCGAATCTCTGGGATAGGCTTAGAAGTCATTAACAAATGTGATCCTTCTCAATGGAAAATGAAAATTTTGTGCATTACTAATGCATGAACTAGAACTGTCAGTGGTGTCCCTTTTTGCTAGGTGCCCCTAGGATGCTGGATGTTGCAGGATTAATTACCTACGTTTGCATCCCACTGTGGCAGCATACATAGCAAACAGCAATGCAAAGCAGGCTAGGCTGAGAGAAAGTGAATAGCTCAAGGTCACCTGAGGCTGAGCAGGGATTTTAACTCAGTTCTCTCCAGGCTGTTTATCAAATCTTTCTTCCACCTTTCCTCCAGAACTCGGGATACAAATGTCACAGTATGAATATATTATGCACATGCCCATATTTTACAAATTTTATTGTTTCTACCAAGCAAAAAGACAGGAGGAAGAACTAAGCAAAGCATTGAAGCTGCAGCTCTCAACCTTGTTCAGTCCAAGTGCCATCGCTTGTGGTTACTCTGACTTTATCAGGGACTGCCCAACCTTTTAAAATTTGATTGCAGAAGCCGTAAGGACTAGGAACTTTCATTTTTAAATACAAAATACAAGACATAAAATTCAAACCTTTTTAATTTTTTTAGTCTGTGCCAGATGCAAATATTCCACATATTAAATTCTATACTTCTGTAGCATGATCTCAGATGCAGGGAAACCCATAAGCATAACTAACC